TGCGTATGTTGGAGCGAAGCTGCCAGCCAAATATTCGTGATCATTACCATATATGAATAATAATAGTAGTAGTAACAATAGTAATAATAACAGTAACAGTAACAGTAGCAGTAACGGTGACAGTAACAGTAACAGTAATGGCAATAGCAGTAGCAATAGTAATGATAGTTACAGTAACAGTAATAGCAACAGTAATAGTAATAGTAGTTGTAAAAGTAAAAGTAATAGTAATCGTAACAGTAATAGTAATAGTAATAGTAATAGTAATAGTAATAGTAATAGTAAGAGTAAGAGTAAGAGTAAGAGTAAGAGTAAGAGTAAGAGTAAGAGTAAGAGTAACAGTAATAGTAATAGTAATAGTAATTGCTGAAGTGCATGCCTCGTTTGCAAGCCTTTGCTATGTGTACATTGTGTACATGCGGAATCTTTTTCCTTGTTGCTCTTAGGCCCAAGCACAGAACGCCTTGAGCATGACATTTTAACAACACATGTACCATAGCTGTAGGTGCCAAGCCCAAGTAGCACAGACTTCTTTTTGCTTGCTTTGTTCTTGTGCGTAAAATCTCCGCCTTGTGTGAGCTATGGCAGGGTTGAGTTTTGCAGGGGACCTGATCACTCCACTTGCATCCTCCACTCAACCTGCTGGTTCACTCCAGCAGGTTATGAGCCCAACGCAGGGCTATGGCACCACAGGGCATGCGACGTCCACAACACCTGATGCACCCACCGCCGGCACAGAGGGTGGTTTGGGTTTTGTGGTTGATTCGGCTGCGGGAAGGGCGCGTGTTAGCACAGACCCAGCAGAAGGCTTGCAACATGTGTCGACCACCGGTGAGGGTGGGATTGAGCAGGCTATGCCCCGAAGCATGCCACTTGCCTTTGCAGCTCCGGGCGGAAGCCCAGGACCACGGGCCAACACTGAGCCCCGTCAGGACACTTTGAGTGAGGACCGCGAGGTTGCAGACCAAAGTGGTGATGGTGGTTTGGGGGGCATAAGGTCAACTGGGGAAGCTCCTGGAGTTGAGGGGTTTGTCACCCCACGTTCGCAACAGGGTTTGACCACCATCACCGAGATGGTTGAGGGTATCCCTGGTGTTTTTATGTCTCGTGTTTCCGAGTTGTTCCGCGTGGCAAGGAATGAGGTGCAGGCCCAGACACCGCCACGTCATGTACATGTTCACGCAAGCCCTGGTGCAACATCTAGGGCGAGGGCCTTGGCAGATGGGAGTGTGGGGTCAAGTAGTTCGCCGCCGCAGCCGGGATCACTCGGCACACCCACTACCTTTGCCCCGGGTCCCGGAAGGGAACCCCCGCTACTTAATGCGGAAACGCTGCAGCGCATGCAAGCTCTTGAGCAGCGGGCTCCCATCATCTACCCTAGATCTGCAGCCCCTGAGCGGCACGGAGACGTCGTCAATACCCCAGGAGGCTATCCAAGCAGAGGTCGCCAGGCAGCTTGCAGGGTTTGAGGCCAGAGCGCAGGCACAGGAATCCGAAAATGAGAGGTTAAGGCAGCAACTAGCGGAGGCGAATGAGCAGAGGGAGCGAGCCATGAGGGAAGCAGCACTTGCCAGGAGCACCCAAACGCAGACCCCTAGTGGGCACCCGCCAATCCCTCCTCAACCTTTCGCCAGTGCTGCGCCTCCAAGTGCGAATCCTGTCATCCCAACTTTGGCTGATCAGGTCATTGAGGCCCTGAGAGCACCAGCATCCACATCAGGGTTTTGGTCCAACTTGTGGTCGGGCTTGCAAGGTTCGCAAAGGCTGCCGGGCAGTGCTACACCACCCGGAAGGGTTGGGTCTGTGTCAGAGCCCATGGCTCAATCAGCACAGGTTCCACTCGCTTCAGGTCCTGAGCGGGCCCAAACCCCCATTCTCAGCCCGAAATCCTGGGTTTGGGGCAGTTGAGGGCTCCGAGCTTAGGTGGACCAGCCAATCCACCGGTTTTAGATGGCTTTACCACCAACGTAGGGCAGCCACCACCGCCGCCACCGCCGCCCGGAAGGGACGGGCAAGTGCCATATTCTCAGGCTGTAGGCGCTCAGGTTGCATCGACTCCAGGAGGGCAGGACACAACACCACAAGCCCCAAGTTCAGTGTTGGATGCTCTGGTTTTGGGGGTGCAACAGCTGCAAAGCCTACAGGCTCAACAGCTCAAGGTTAAAGGCGATGATGTGCCCGAAACGGTTAAACCAGGGATCACCACCTTGCCAAAACTCGTTGCGCCTAATCCTTCGGGTGGCTCCTTGGAGTTTCAAGACTGGCTTGAATTGGTGAGTGGCTTGATGGTTGATCTTTCGGACAGCTCTCAACTTTGGTGGTCGAGTGTGTTGCAGTTGGCGCGTGATGCATTTGCCCGTTGGAGTGTTTCGTCCCCCGTGGAGCGTTTGAGGGTGGCTCCTGATGATAGGGCGGAGGTTGTTGAGGGCAAGTGGTCAAGGGTAAACGCTAGGGCGTGTGCCATGCTGTTGGAAGCACTGGATGCGTCTGTGAAATCGGACATCGTAGCACGCAGGGCAACTCAAAATGCAGCACACATCATGTTCCGCCTCCATACGATTTACCAGCCAGGTGGAACCAATGAGCGCGACCTCATACTCAGGAACTTGCATGATCCACCGCAGTTTACGGAAGTGGTTGCAGGAGTAAACTTGTTGAGGTCGTGGGGTCGTTGGCATCGTCGTTGTTTGGAGTGCGGGATGGTAGCCCCTGATCCGTCCATTCTGGCCCGTGGTTTAACCACGGTAACAGCCCAACACATAGCCAAACACCCAGATGTGCAGTTCCGCACTCAAATCGTGCGTAGTGCACTGCACATTGATCTGCACCCATCGGGAGATGAGGTTTTAGACTACCACAAGCATTTGCTGGGTGAGTTTGAAACCATGGCTGGGGCACTGGACTCAAGGCGCGTAGTCACCAATCCCAAAGCCCAAGCGTTGAATGCAACCACAGATGCACCAGGTGGTGGAAACCAACCTCAGGGGCAGGGGAAAGGCTCGGGAGGAGCAGGTGCCAAGCCGTGTAAGTTCTTTCTCTCCCGGAAGGGGTGTAGAAATGGCCCTAAGTGCAAATTCCCACATTCCATGACCGAGCTCTCTAAGGCTGAGCGGTTTAAAAAGTGTTTGGTGTGTGGCTCTGAGGAGCATCGTGCAAAGGATTGTCCCGTTGGCAAGGGCGCGAAGTCCGATGCCAAATCACCCGATAAGCCCACGGTGCAAAGGACCACAGCAGCAGCACAGGATGCAACATCACCATCAGCATCAACACCTCAAGCGCCAGTGCAGGCTACACCTATCGCGAATGGCATGCCCGTCACGCTCGAGTCCTTTATGCAACAGGCAGTCCAAGCTTTGAGGCAGCTCGAGGCCCAGCCACCGCGTAGCGATCCGCCTCAGCCTCAGCCGGAAGGCTTAAGTACTGCATCACAACAGTCCTCGGCGCCTAATCCTTCGGTGAAGAGGCTCACGATTCGCTCCGTCATGCCCTCAAGTTGTTTCCCGGTTTCGGGCCCCCCAAACCGGGAAATTTTGAATTCTCCTGCCGTTGAGCCCGCTGTGGAGCCATCACCCGTTGCATCCCAACCACCTCTCATTGGCTACGCCCTTCTCGACTCCGGTGCCACTCACCCCATGCGACAAGCCTCATCTGAGGAGGAGTGGGAGACCGCAGAGGAAGTGCAAGTGAGTCTAGCCGGCGACCAAAGCACAATCATGCGTTTGACGCGCGCGGGCACTCTCCTACTGCCACCCGGAAGGGACGGCCTAGTGCAGCCAATTGTTCCCATGGGTGCTATCATAGAGCAGTTGGGGTATAAGCTGGTTTGGTCCGCCGGTAGTTGCAAGCTGTATCCTCCTGATGGTAAGTCGTTGAGGCTTAGGGTCAAAAATGGTTGCCCGGAATTGGTTGAGAGCCAAGCCCTTACGCTGATATCACGGTTGGAAGAGCACAAAATGCAACAGGTTGAGGAGCTCAGGCGAAGAACGGATGAGGGGAAGGATCGCATCAGACAGGCGAAAATCGCAATGGAGCGCACGTGGTGGGATCATTTGGTTGAGCATGTGAGCTCGTCGGCGCCGGCATCGGGCCACATGGCAGTGTCAACAGCTCCATTCTTTCAGGATGTGCCCGACCGTGCATTGTCAGGCATACTCCCATCGGAAGCTGTGGACTCCAAGACTTTGTGGAAAGCTCTTGAAGAAGGCATGCCAAACCTCAACCGGCGAAGGAGGAAGGCGCTTCATCGCGCATCCAATTGGGTTGTTCATTTGTTTGCGGGCCCTGGCTCGCACAAGGCTTTCAAACGATTGGAGTCGCAGGATACAGTTGTTGTTGAGCTTGACATTTGCCGCTCAAGGAGCCAAGATCTTTACCATGATCCGCTTTGGACGCTTCTTGCTAAGGTTGCAAAGTTGGGACGAGTTGCGGCGGTCATTGGAGGTCCACCAACCCGCACGTGGTCCATGACAGGGCACCGCGCCGATGGACCACATCCACTCCGCTCGCCCACTGAACCGTTTGGCCTGAGCACTCTCACCTCTGACGAGCGTGATCTCGTTGATCGTGATACGGGTTTGTATGCTCGCATGTTGTGGTTGCATGCACTCTCCACCGCCGGGAGGCGTGTGCACCCAAACCCATCGAATGGAACATCCATGGTGGCATTCATGTTGGAGCAACCGTCGGTTGAACACCACATGGCTTCAAGCCATTCTGCTGTGGGTAGCGCTCCGTCGTTTTGGAATACCGCGCTGTGGCAAGCTTACGCTGAAGAGGCTGGTTTGTTTGAGGTGCATTTCCGTCAAGGTCCGTTGGGGCACGCTGGCGATAAACCCACAACTGTTGGCACAAACTTGCCCGACCTTAGAGACTTGCAAGCGTTGCCGGGGGAGGTGCCGCAGGTTTGTTGTAGCGCCGACAGCCGTGTGTCTCCAGTGTGGGCGCCGGGGTTTGTGCAAGCCATCGTGTACGCACTCCAACGTTGGCCATGTTACCGCATCATGAAATTCACCCAAGCGGATTGGGAACAGCATGTTGCGAACAATCACGTGCCGTACCGCCGTGATTGTGCAGTTTGCGTGCACGGTGCCGGAAACGGCCGCCGCCACCACGGTGTAGTTCACCCGGATGTGTATTGCATGTCAGCCGACATTGCGGGGCCCATCCGTGTGAAGGGCAAAGACCCAGAAAGCCGCAACCACCGACCAGCCACGTTCAAGTACTTCCTCGCTGTGTCGTACCGCTTCCCACGGCTCAGAGGAGTGAAGGAGGAGTCAGACCCCAGCCAAACCGAGGGGTTTGATGATGCAGCACTCCTCCCGGGAGGGACGGATGACCTTGCAGATGAGGCCTTTCCCGCAGCAGAAGGCCCCCCGTGCGAAGATTACGAGGACTCCCTGTACGAGCCAAGTTTAGCGGAAGAAGAGGAGGAGGCGGAAGGTGAAGGAGTTGAAGGGCCTAGGGAGTTTGCAGCCAAAGTTGCCGAGGAGCATCCCTGGGAGTCAGCCAGGTGTGAACTCGAAACACCGCCTGACATGGCGAGGCTGGTGTTTGCAGTGCCACTTCACACAAACAAGGGTGATGATATCCTCAATGCCCTCCAACAGGTGTACATTACCCGGTCCCTAAACCTCCCCGTGCTTCGTTTCCACACAGACCGCAGTCGTGAGTTCTTCAACAAAAGGACTCGAGCTTGGTTTCACGAGCGTGGAGTCCGCACAACAACAACAGAAGGGGACGTTCCGCAGCAGAACGGCTCTGCTGAGAACACCGTGCGCTGGCTCAAAGCACGAGCACGAACCCTTCTCACCTCTGGCGAGGTCGACTCGTCCTTGTGGCCTTGTGCAATCATGACAGCTGCGGCTCAGCAACGGGCGCAGCAGCTGGGCATGAAGTCCAAGCTTGCCATCCATTTTGGAGGGAAGTGTTCCGTGAAGCGAAAGTTGTTTAGCAAGAAGGGTGATTTGGAGGATAGATGGGTTGAAGGTAAGTATATGGGGTTGTCACCATCTGTGAATGATGGTCACATCGTGTTGCGCAGCGATGGTGTTGGCAACGGCTTTGTGCAAACACTCCATGTTCGCACCCGCCTTGTTTCTCCGGATCCACCGCCCTTGCAGTTTGTAGGAGACTCGCTTGAGGAGGAGCACACACCACCTCCACGCAGGGTTCGCGGCAAGCGGTCTGCTGGTGTGAGACTTGACGACGTCTTTGCACGTGACCCGCCGCCTCCCTTGCCGCCGCCAGCAGGAGCTCCACACCCGGAAGGGCCTGTGTCACCGGTTGAGGAGGAGTCTGCCCGTGTAGCGCGCTTGAGTCTGCAAGACCTTGAAGGTTTAGCTACGGAGCTTATCGAGGACGACTGGGACCTTGATGAAGCGTTGTGGGTGCTAGCCGAAGTGTGCAGAGCAGCGCCCCAGCTGCAACACAAAGCTGGGTTGTACCGTCACGGAGGTGTCGTAGGAGTTTTAGGGGGTACCACAGATAAGCCTTGGCTGACAGAGCTTATGAATATGGTGTTTTCGGCAGTTGCACCCACAGCAGAGTACACCTCGCTTTGGTTGTCTAACTCCACTGTTCAACCCGTGCACGCCGACCACCACAACCTGCAGGGATCCACAAATGTAGTCCTCCCTTTGAAGCTCCCGCCTAACGGAGGGGATTTGTGGATAGAACTCAAGCCTGGTGACCTAGTCAGTGGCCCTGTAGAGGAGCGGGTAGACGGCAAAGGCAGGCGCTGGTTAGGGACAACTCACAAGTTAGAGCGCGGTAAGCCCTTCTTCCTAGACCCTACTCGCCGCCACGCCACCACTCCCTGGAAGGGTGAGAGAGCAGTGCTTGTCGGCTACACTGTCAACACGTTAGGCAAAGAGCTTGAGCACGAGTTTCAAAGCCTTGAAGCTTTAGGTTTTCCACTCCCAGCGTCGGTACGTTTACCGCTGACTGAGCAGCAAGACGTGAGACGTCTAGACGCGTTTGACTGCTTCGAAGAAGAGCCCCTTCAGGAGACAAAGGCACGTCACCCTGACGGGAAGACTTCTGAGTTAGCGCCTGGGACTGTGCTTAAAGGCGGAGGTTGGAAAGAAACCCAAGCCGTAGAAGCAGGTACTGTAGAGCTGGAGGTGTCGTGGAACCTGAAACACTCGCCGGACCACAGGCGAACCCAGTCTGAGCACGCCCTGCTGGCTTGCCAACCAGACACCGAGACACAGGTTGAGGAGGAGGAGAGCTCAAGCGAAGACTCCTTGCCGGAGCAACCAGTGCTGTGGGAGTTGTGGGTTCCAGACCCGCAGACAGGTGAGCAGCTGTGTGTTTTCAGGTCTGACGACTCGGACGCGAGTGAAGCTTGCGCCCTTTGCAAGTCTGAGCCGGTTTACACTACCAACGTGGAGCTGTTGCTTGACGGGTTGCAAGAACCACTGCAGGTAGTCCACACTGTAGACCCTCGGGATGCAGAGCAATGCATCGAGAAGTGGATGCCGTCCATTCACAAAGAGATCGGTGTCATTGAGAAGGCTGTGCGGCGACTGCCCCCTGCAGAGGTCCGTTCGGGAGGTTGGCTTAGGCGTAAGGAAGTGAAGGTAGTTCCGTCTAAGTTTGTGTTTACAGTCAAGCCACCAGACCCTTCTGAGGGTGACGCTGCCCTCGCTACCCGGAAGGGTCAAGCTTACCACAAACGCAAGGCTCGCTTGGTCGCTTGTGGCAACCACGCCCCCGGCACAGGGTCTGAAGTCTACGCTTCAGGTGCTGCTGCAGAGACACTCCGTTGTTTTGTAATCATCAGCTCCAAGAGGAATTGGTGCATCGGGTCTCTAGATGTCACCTCAGCTTTTCTGTTGACCCCAATCCCGCAAGGCAGAGGTTTTCCAGTGTTTGCTCTCACACCGCCTAGGTTGCTAGTGAGACTAGGTTTGGCAGAGGAAGGGGAGCTTTGGATCCTCACGCACGCTGTGTACGGGCTGAGGGAGTCGCCTAAGCTTTGGTCGGACTTTAGAGACTGCCAACTTCGGGCGCTGAGGTGTGTTGTTGACGGAGTTGAACTGCAGCTCCAGCAAGGAAGGTTGGACCCAAACTGGTGGCGTGTTGTTCGCACCTCTGACGGGGTAGTCGTAGGAGGGTTGCTCACTTACGTTGACGACTTTTTGCTTGCAGGCAGTAAAGAGGTGATCGAAGCCTTGGCCACGGCCATCCAAGGCATCTGGAAAACGACGCCTCTCGCACTTGCCACCGCAGAGCACCCGCTGAGGTTTTTAGGGGTTGAAATCCTAGTGCAAGGTTCCGGGTTTTTGTTGTCCCAGCAGGCTTACGCCGAAGAGCTGCTGCGTCTCAACGACGTGAAGCCCACTGCACTGGGTAAGGTCCCCTGTCCGCGTGACCTTGTTTCATTTGACACTCTCTTGACGGACGAGTCCCCAATCGAGGAGACCGTTCGAACAGCACAGAGGCTGACTGGAGAAATCCTGTGGCTAAGCCAACGCACTCGGCCTGACTTAGCTTTCACTGCTTGTGTGCTTGCCTCTCTCAGCACGAAGGCGCCGCAACGAGCCATCCGCATTGCAGAGAAGGCCCTTGCGTATGTGCAGCGTACCAAGGCGCTGGCTCTCACCGCTGATGCGGATGACACAGGATTGATCGCGTATAGTGATGCCAGCTATGCGCCGGAAGGGAATCGTTCTCACACGGGGTGGGTGGTTTTCCTTTACGGGTCGCCGGTGTGCTGGCGTTCAGCACGACAGTCTTTTGTCACCCTCAGCACCGCAGAAGCCGAGCTTGTTGCTGGACTTGACGCTGTAGTTGCCCTTCAGTCAGCAGAGGCCATGCTGAGTGAGTTCGGGGTTTCTAGCCTTGACAAGACTTTGAGGGTTGACTCACAGTCTGCACTGGCCATCGCTATCGGCCAAGGGTCTTGGCGAACCCGCCACCTAAGGGTGCGCGCCAACTACCTTCGAGAGCAGTATGAGTCTGGTGAGATCATCCCTGTCTACTGCCCAGGAGTTGAGCAGGCCGCAGATCTTCTGACGAAAGCACTGCCATCTGCGAGGATCAATGAGCTCGCAGCCATCTGGGGTTTGCGCGAGCATGGCGTACCTCGCCGGGCGGAAGCTCAGGCCTACAGTGAAACTCAAGCTGTGGGCACTGGGACCGTGGCGCAGCAAGACCTGCAGCTGAGTGCCTTCGCTGTCTTGCTCGCCTTCTTTCAGGTCGTAGGTGCTGCCAGCCAGACAACGGACGAGGAAGAAGACTTGTCTCTCCCCGTGTCGCTTGATGCAGATTTGATGTTGGCAGTATCCATCATCTGCATTGGTATCTGCTTCATTGCAGTGTGGGAGTTCTTCAAGCGGTGCCTTCAAGGCGTCATCTCCCGCCGAGAGGCAGGGACACCCGTGTTGTCTCTGAGCCCCCGCAAGGCGCGCAAGTTACAGCGCCTTCGAGATCAAACTGCGCGTGCCATCCAGGCCGAGATCTCTGCACGTGAGGAAGCAGCAAGCTCGCAGTCTGTTGTTGCAGCGCCCAGACGCCGCCCCTCACAAACAACTCGCACGCGTGAGCAGGCAGGTGGAGCACCAACGCGTTACTTTGCAACCCCCGAAGGGACCAAGCTCCACCGCACTAAGACCTGTTCCACGCTCGCCCACTCGCACAGGTTTGTTGAGTTTCAAGTGTGCCAGCAGTGCCACGGCACCACTGCAGACCACACCCAGCACAGCACAGGGTAGGAACTACTCCACCCTAACGGGTTGGATCTCTCAGTGAGCTCATCCGTAGCTGTGTCTTTTTCCTACACGAGGTGCCTTGAGAGCCCTCGCATAGTGAGGGCAGTTGGCCCAGCTTTTGCCAGGTAGTTCAGGGTAGGTATGTCGTCACCCTGACGGGTTGGACCTGCAGTAGCAAGTAGGTCGCAACTCCCTGGCGGGGCTGCGAAGGAGGAGTGCTGAAGTGCATGCCTCGTTTGCAAGCCTTTGCTATGTGTACATGCGGAATCTTTTTCCTTGTTGCTCTTAGGCCCAAGCACAGAACGCCTTGAGCATGACATTTTAACAACACATGTACCATAGCTGTAGGTGCCAAGCCCAAGTAGCACAGACTTCTTTTTGCTTGCTTTGTTCTTGTGCGTAAAATCTCCGCCTTGTGTGAGCTATGGCAGGGTTGAGTTTTGCAGGGGACCTGATCACTCCACTTGCATCGTCCACTCAACCTGCTGGTTCACTCCAGCAGTAATAATAGTAATAGTAATAATAGTAATAGTAATAGTAATAGTAATAGTAATAGTAATAATAGTAATAGTAATAGTAATAGTAATAGTAATAGTAATAGTAATAGTAATAGTAATAGTAATAGTAATAGTAATAGTAGTAATAGTAATAGTAATAGTAATAGTAATAGTAATAGTAATAGTAATAGTAATAGTAATAGTAATAGTAATAGTAATAGTAATAGTAATAGTAATAGTAATAGTAATAGTAATAGTAATAGTAATAGTAATAGTAATAGTAATAGTAATAGTAATAGTAATAGTAATAGTAATAGTAATAGTAATAGTAATAGTAATAGTAATAGTAATAGTAATAGTAATAGTAATAGTAATAGTAATAGTAATAGTAATAGTAATATAGTAATAGTAATAGTAATAGTAATCGTAATAGTAATAGTAATAGTAATAGTAATAGTAATAGTAATAGTAATAGTAATAGTAATAGTAATAGTATAGTAATAGTAATAGTAAGTAATAGTAATAGTAATAGTAATAGTAATAGTAATAGTAATAGTAATAGTAATAGTAATAGTAATAATAAGTAATAGTAATAGTAATAGTAAAGTAAGTAATAGTAATAGTAATAGTAATAGTATAGTAATAGCAAGAGTAATAAGCAAGAGCAAGAGCAAGAGCAAGAGGAAGAGGAAGAGGAAGAGGAAGAGGAAGAGGAAGAGGAAGAGGAAGAGGAAGAGGAAGAGGAAGAGGAAGAGGAAGAGGAAGAGGAAGAGTCAGAGTCAGAGTCAGAGTCAGAGTCAGAGTCAGAGTCAGAGTCATAGCCATAGCCATAGTCATAGTCATAGTCATAGTCATAGTCATAGTCATAGTCATAGTCATAGTAATAGTAATAGTAATAGTAATAGTCATAGTCATAGTCATAGTAATAGTAATGGTAATGGTAATGGTAATAGTGGTAGTAATAATAGTAATAGTAATAGTAATAGTAATAGTAATAGTAATAGTAATAGTAATAGTAATAGTAATAGTAATAGTAATAGTAATAGTAATAGTAATAGTAATAGTAATAGTAATAGTAATAGTAATAGTAATAGTAATAGTAATTGTGATCGTAATTGTGATCGTAATCGTAATCGTAATCGTAATGGCAATGGTAATGGTAATGGTAATGGTAATGGTAATGGTATCATATCATATCATATCATAGGGCTCGTTGCTCGTAAGCGGGGCCCGGCTCACAGGAAAACTGGGACCCGACCGTATAGGTGCGGGGCAGAATCCACGAGCGCTCTGTCCTGTTTTGCGCACCAACCTTAGACAGTCTCCATGTGCAGGGCCTGCGCTAATCTGGCCACAGCTCCGCCCACCAGGTGGACTTTAGCGATGGCTTGAGACTCCGATAAGCCCCCGGGCTTCATTGCCTCAGCGAAAAGATTGTGGCCTTCACTTACACTTTGAAAGGGCCCTCTGAGATCATCCATGGCTGGGCAATCCACAGTAAGGTGGAAAATGCCAGCCGCCTGCGTTCCGCAGAACGGGCAGAAAGGAACGATCCTCAAGAAGCTTGAGTCCGGCGTGAGAAGCGGCAGTGCTCCTGTGACCCGAGCTGTGCACCAAATTCTGTGTAGGTGCCATCTTGATGGTGGCCAGTATGCCCACCTCTCATTCGCCTTCCAGGGCGTGAGAGCCGGGCTGATACTACTGTACGGAAGTATGGCTTCGGTGAGCACGCCCTGCAGCTGCGTCTGAAGCCATGTGGCTTCTAGAGCCTTGACACGTGGGAGGACGTGCTGTCTCTTGTAGGCCGCCAGCGCGCGCTTGCGCCCTGCAGCCGAGTTGCGCATCTCATCCGTGATCTGCACAGTATGCCATAATTCCGGCACCTGGAGGTATTCGCAGACGACCTGCTGAGAGTGCTGCCACCAAGTGTTCTGAATGTCCCCCGTTTGAATGCACTGCACCGCGAGAGACGTCGGGTGATGAACTGGCAGTAGGGAAATTCTTGCACGAGCCATAGCTATACGCTGCGCAACCATCGTGCCCGCCCTGATGAGCAATCTGGTTTCTGCGAAAACTGCTGCCCAGGAGCCGACGCTGGCCGTAGCAGGAATACCAAGGAAAGCTTTAGCAACCACGTATTGGGCCTGATTGATTTGCTCAGCGGCTTTTTTGAAGCCCCCCTGGTAGCTAGCCAACACTTCGCTTCCAGCTAGGGCCTTACTCGCGATGCGCAAGCTAAACTGTGCAGCCGTCGCAGGCATGCCAAACCCAGCAGTTGACATACCGCTAGCTAACTTGCACCCCTCACCACGCATGACAGCAGCAGTGTGCTGGAGCTGCATGTTCATGCTGAGATCGGACTCGAGATGCACGACCAAAAGCGTAACGTGGTCGCAGACCACTACCTTCTCTCCGCATAGGGTGCCGCATGCGTCCGATGACGGCGGCTGCGTGTGTACCGGCAGTACTCGAGGCCCCTTTTTCCCACCGGCGAATTTATGCCTCCAGCTCAAGCAAGCATCAGTTAGGGTGCAGTTGGCTTTGGCAAGGGCAGGCGCATCAAGAGCAAGTATGATGCCATCATCCACGTACTGCTGGTAGGGGAAAAGGAAAGGAGCGGTGCCTTCAAGCATCTGAAGCTGTGCAGAGTTTGGCAATGGGCTAAGCTGCCTTACCCAATAACGGACTTGCTGGTTTGCAAGCGGGCTGGCTTCAAGCCCAGCCTCATTCGAAAAATGGACACAAAGGTGCCTAGCCAAATTTGCAGCAGGATCGACAGTCACGGCAAGCCCAGAGCAACAGCTTTCCCAGGCGCTCGTAAGTGCCGTGGCAAAGGTGCCAAAAAGGTGCGTGCCGCTGACCTTGCCTTGTCCAATGCTGTGCTGGACAAGGGACACAGCGAAGCCAAGTGCGCCTCCAACGCGGACCCGAAGGGTCTCCTTTCCCAACCACGCATCTAACAATAGCCAGTGCCATCCTTTGATACGGGCACGCCGTGTCAGACAACGCAAGGCTTGGCGCCAAACTGATTCGTAGCCTTGCTCTAGATCAGCAATTTGTAGCAAGGATGGTAGCTGCTGGGATTTCCGGGCCTGAAGCAGAAGGGTCACCCCTAACACAACAGTGATGTGGTCAAAACGTCCCCCTGATTGTTGGAACCCCATAAACTTTTCCAGTTCTGGTCTGACATGGCCAAGCCAAATGGTGTCCAGGATCGCTTCGATGTCATCAACACATGTTACGGGGCGGACCTGCTTAGTAAGTCGAATAAGGCCGCTTCCCGTTTTGTCCACAGGGCAAACTTCCCGTATCCACATACTTGGTAATTTGCAGGTGGCGGCAATCAAACAACACAGCCCCCATGTAAGCAATGTGACTGGGTAGGCGTCAATGTGAGCGCACGCACGAGGCAAGCGGACCGAAGCCTTAGCCTTACCCAGATGCTTCATGGCATTGGTGACTTCCTGCCATGTGAAAGGATCCTGCGTTTGAGAGGCCGCCTCAACAAGGGCTTCTGCACGTGCCACCCGCACCTCAGCGTCGACCATGCTGTTCATGGCTGGTGTGCCCTGGCCTTTACCTGCTGCGCGGTTGACAAGGTCTTGGGTGAGTACAGCGATTGCTCGCGCCTGGGACAGCTCACGACCGTCACTGTCGCGAAGTGCCAACACTACTCCCTGTTTGGGCTTCAATGTGGCACTCAGCAGTTTGTCTGCCAAGGTACGGTCCAAGTTCCAAAGCCTAGCATGTCTTGCAATTAGGCGGCGGCCTTTATCGTACACATGGTGTGCAAGCCGTGATTCTTCCTGTATGCGCAGTTCAATGCTTGACAAGTTGGGTGTAGTAGCAGTGTGCAACCAATCCTCAGGAGAACACTGCTTCTTTCTAGGTCCCAGGCCAGGTTTGCGAAACAGCACGAGACCAGCGACGTGGCCAGCTAGAGTAAAAATGACTGCCCTCCACCACGCTGCAATGTCAACGAGCCACTGTCTAACGCCCACCCACTGGTCACGGCGGAGCTTTTCTCTCATTGCAGCCCATCTAGATGCAAGAGCAGCCCATGATCCAACGAAGAGCAGCGCGGGCAAGACAGGTTGTGCTGCCTGGCCCCAATCTGCATTACGAGCCCATTGTACAGTGAGATCCTGCTGCTTATCCTGTACTGGTACTTGCACATCCACTGTGGCAAAGAGGTGGAGATGGTCGCTGGGCACTGTTTTCTGGTCTGCAGGCTGCACTGTGACTTGTGTTCTCAGGTTTGGTGATGCCGCAATGACGTCAAGCGCGGTTCCTGCTTCTAATGTAGGTGCTCCAGGCGGATTACAAATCCAAAGGCCTAAGTTAGCCCTGTCAGAAATGATACTGTGGATGGCCCTTTCCGTTTGTCCGCAATAATGCTGGTTGGAAGCCGTCAGCCCAGGCAAGTGAGCATTGACGTCACCAGCTAGAAGAATGGCAGAATGACGAAACAGAGGTTGCCTGCGAAGCCCCTGTGCGTCCTGCAGTCGGTCTTGCCAAAAGCCTATGCGCGCCAGGGGAGCTTTCAGCTTGTGTAGTCCATAAGCAGCCAAGATGAGAAGGGGCGCTGCGCCATCTGGGGCACTTACTGCCAGCCACAGGGCCCTGCTGTTACCAACTTCAGCGACTTGGCTCACTGCCGACAGGCAGCGGTCATCTATGATGACAGCCACTGTGTCTGGCAATGTGGATCTTTCGCCTAGGAACGTGTATCCAAGATTGGCAGGCCATGTAAACCCAGGCCCCAACCTAGGTTCGCTGAGCACGGCTATGTGTATGTGCTCGGCTTGCAGCTGCGCCACTAAAGCCAAGAGTCTTCCTTGCCTGTGCTTGATGCCTCCATGGGCGCCCAAGCCGCCCCGTAAATTCAAAGCAGCAACTCTCAAGTGCGCTGCACTGGAGACAGTTGCATGCGATGTTACCTGTTCTTGGGCTAGACGGCCCCCCTGCCAGGGTCCATACACTCCCGTGGGAGGTCTGGTACCTGCAGCAGCGGAGGCAGACGCCTGAGCCTCGCTCAAGGCCTGTCGTAGTCCCTGCTGGAAGATTCTGTATGTTTGCAACGGTGGCGGCAAGGACTCTGGATCAAAACTAAACCTGGGCAAATCCAGAAGCAATGCCTCAATGTCTCTCAGCATGGCCGCCGCTCTCCACGTTGAATTTCTTCGGACATCTAAAAAACTATGCGAACCAATCAGATCTTTGACTGTCTGAGCTGCTCGAAATGCTTGCCCCTCTTGAAGGTGTTGCAAGCACCAAGCTGTGGAGGGTGCCTCTTGATTGTCCGCCATGCCCAGCTAGAAGGAAAATAAAAAAAACACGGAGTAGTGAATGATTGGGCCAATCGAGCTGCCAAGGCAAAGCACCACAAGCACGCACACAGACAGAAACAAACAAACAAACAAACACACAAACACAAAAGAAAAAAAAAAAAAAACACACACACACACAAACAAACAAACAAACACACAACAACAGCAGCAAGCACGCCCACCCAAACACACAGGCACACACACGCACACACAGAGACGAGCGAAACCACACGCAAACAAACACAGACACGCAAGCGACACACGGGAACAGGCGCGCGCACCCGCCCCAAACGCAACCACCCGCGCAGGAAAACACACGCAGAGACACGCCCACCCACCGACCCACCGACCGGACCCGCACACACCCACCCACCCGCCCACGCACACACACAAACAAACACACGCACGCACGCACACACGCACACCCACACACACACACAAACACACACGCGCACACAGACACCCAGCCACCCACCCACCCACCCACCCACCCACCCACACACACACCCACACACACACACACACACACACACACACACACACACCCACCGCCGCACCCGCAGCCAGGCCAAAAGGAAAGCACAGCCACACAGACACGCAACAGAGACAAACAAGCACGCAAACACAAGCAGAAACAAGCACGCAAGGGCGCACGCACGAAAGCACACACACACACACACACACACACACACACACACACACACACACACACACACACACACACACACACACACACACACACACACACACACACACACACACACACACACACACACACACACACACACACACACACACACAACACACACACACACACACACACACACACACACACACACACACACACACACACACACACACACACACACACACACACACACACACACACACACACACACACACACACACACACACACACACACACACACACACACACACACACACACACACACACACACACACACACACACACACACACACACACACACACACACACACACACACACACACACACACAACACACACACACCACACCGACAACACACAACACCCACACACACACCAACACACACACACAAAACCACAACACACACACACACACAAACACACACACACACACACACACACCCACAACACGAGCACCGCCCACCCCCCACCCCCGCACCCCAAAGCACCCACAACCCGCGCACAACGCACCCCCACCCCGCCCCCCCCCCCCACCCCCACCCCCACCCCCACCCCCACCCCCACCCCCACCCCCACACCCGCACCCGCACCCGCACCCGCACCCGCACCCGCACCCGCACCCGCACCCGCACCCGCACCCGCACCCGCGCCCGCACCCGCACCCGCACACGCACACGCACACGCACACGCACACGCACACGCACACGCACACGCACACGCACACGCACACGCACACGCACACGCACACGCACACCCACACGCACACGCACGCCCGCACGGGCACGCGCACGCGCAAGCAAGCAAGCAAGCAGGCAAGCAAGCACGCAAGCACGCAAGCACGCAAGCACGCAAGCACGCGACCACACAAGCACGCAAGCACGCAAGCACGCAGGCAAGCAAGCAAGCAAGCAAGCACGCAAGCAAGCAAGCAAGCAAGCGCGCAAGAAAGCAAGCACGCGAACGCACGCAAGCACGCAGGCAAGCAAGCAAGCACGCAGGCACGCAAGCAAGCAAGCAAGCACGCAAGCAAGCAAGCAAGCAAGCAAAAGAACAAGCAAACAAGCACGCCAGCACGCAAGCAACGAAGCAACCGAGCAAGCCAACCAGCCAGCGAGCAGCCAGCGAGCGGAAGAGCGAACAACCGAACACGCGGAGGCGCACGCAGACACAGGCACAAAAAGAAAAAGAAAAAACAAAAAAAAACACACACACACACACGACCGCAAGCGAACCAAAACGGCAGCAACAAAACCACAACGGACAAGCAGCAAAAGCCTCATCTTGAAATTTTGAAAAGCCACTTGTATTACCAAATCGAGGAAATCAAGCCATTCTCTGCGACCCGGCAGTTGCGATGTGGCCCCAGCGTAGTTCCAATGCACCCGATTCCATGCAGGGAGAGAAAATGATTGAGGGCAGTGACAGCTCACATGCGGTACATGCGACACAATGAGCTTCGCATCTCTTGTAAGCAACAGTTTCTTCCATCGCCAAATTACAGCTTCTAGCAAAGCAAAGTGCACCCTAATTACAGCCGTCTCCATGCTGACTATGCCAACAGGAGGACTTGCAAGCAATGTACGCATAGTCACACGTGTTGCATGATTTGCAACAGCGAGGTGCCAAAGGCACCGGCCTAAAGAGAGGTCACAGAAAGTGTTCAATGCTTGAGGCTGTCTGCTCAGCCGGCTCAAAATCCAAAGGGCCCAAAGTCATGACCCAATTCGTGGCATAATCAGCAAAGACACGCTTACGGCCCTGAACGGAAGTGCGGTATTTACAGGCAAGGCCTTTCACTTTGCGGACCTGGATCGAAACCAAATTTTTCTTCTTGGTGCCACCTTTGAGCGGCATGTGCAGATGGAAGACAATGACGTTCTCGTTTCCATGTGTTGTCACGTAGAAGGAGCAATCTGGAATTTTCCATGTGCCTGGTGGGGCCAAGTACTCCACCTCCACGGGAGCAGCTTGCTTACCCAGGAATGAGCGTAGGCGCGTTGCTACCTCAAACGGTCCGTCCACGAGCACTCTTGCGGCAAACTTGACACTACGATCAGCTTGACCCTGGAAAGCCTTAGACACTGCACCTTGGAACTCTTGCACTGCTCGCTGCGCTTGGTCACGTTGGTGACTGGACCATACCGCAGCAACCTGAATCTCAGCGAGAGAGGCGAAGCGGTCCCGCTTTGCCACATCGCCACCCTTCAACGGACACTGCCCAGCCAAGCTAGGGGCAAGGAAGCCTGGGACAGGTGGGTTTTCAACCTGCAAGGCTGCAAGCGACCGAACCGCACTCTTGTCACACTGGGGACTCATGGGTACGTCGTTGCCTGCAGGTTGGGATGGCGAAGGAAAGGGCACCACATCACCCATTGCATGGGTGGAAGTATGATGGGTCTCATCTCCCTTCATGCTGCAGTGGCAGCCCCAGAGCTTCAATGCATCTAAAGTTGCCTCTTCAAACACTACACCATGGTTTGCTAGGGCTTCCAGTCCCGAGAAGACTTCTGTCACATCGCCACTGTACAGGTGCTTGTAGATCATCTCTGCCAGGGCAAAGATATTGCTTGTGCTAGTGCCGCTAATCGGCGCGTCATCAAGAGAGCCGCCGCCGTACATCTCGTTGATCTGCGATTCGGTTGCCGGCTGCGTTTCGCTCACTTCGTAGTCATTGCCTTGGGAGTCTGTGGCCTGGGAGTCAATCTGGGTGTCACTCAAACTGTCAGCCTTACGCTTGCGGGGATTGGTGGAAAGCTGGGCCGCCGCATTCTTCATGATGCAGTCAATTCGGACTCTACTCACCCCGCATCCCTTCTTGATGTCCTGAATCAAAGACACAATCGCAGGTGAGCACTGCGCGATGCCTACATGCTCCATCATGTCTGCAGTGGCAGCCGTGAGGATGCTTTTCACTCTGTCCCTGTCGTTCCCTACATCATGAAGCATAGCCTTTGCTGCTTGGCAAATACTCTGGAAGACAGGATCCATGACAGGTGGTGCGCAAGCGATATGGGAGCTGAGGTGGAGAGAGGCCCAGCAACAGACAGAACCTTGAGCAAGCAAGGCATCGCCACATGCAGGCACGTCCTTACAATGTTATATCAAAAAAAACCATTCACCAAGACTCCTGGACAAGACGGGTCATCACTTGAACAGACAACCAAGAGGGACACAAAAAAGACAAGGACACAACCAAGACAGCAAGCAGCAGCAGCAGCAGCAGCATCAGCAGCAGCAGCAGCTGCAGGCGGACGTGGCCCCCCGAACGGGGCACACGCACCCACCTCCTGACCTTAGGAGCAGCAAGCAGAAAGAAAAAACAAAAAAAAAAACCCAAAACACCACAAGCCGAACCAACACACCGCAAAGACCACAACAGCCCGCACAACAGAGAGAACAGCAGCAACAGCAGCAGCAGCAGCAAGCAGGAAGTCAGCGGACGTGGCCCCCCCACCGGGGCACACGCACCCGCCCCTTGACCTTAGGAGCAGTGGCAGCAACAGCAAAAGCAAGCAGGAACCAGGACCACAACAACAACAACAAGAAAGACAACAAGAAGCAGCACCACAAACAAGAAAGCCAAAGACAACAACAGACGAAGGAGACAAGCAGAAACGCAAGCAGCAGCAGCGGCAGGCGGCGGACGTGGCCCCCCGAACGGGGCACACGCACCCACCTCCTGACCTTAGGGGCAGCAAGCAGAAGCAAACAAAAAAAAAAAACACACACAACAACAACAACAACAAGCCGAACCAACGCACCACAGAGACGACGACAGCCCACACAACAGACAACAGCAGCAGCAGGAAGGCAGCGGACGTGGCCCCCGCACCGGGGCACACGCACCCGCCCCTTGACCTTAGGAGCAGCGGCAGCACCAGCAGAAGTAAGCAGCAACCAGGACCACAACAACAACAACAACAACAACAAGAAAGACAACAAGAAGCAGCACGACACACAAGAAGGCCAAAGACAACAACAGGCGACCAAAAGGGACACAAAAAGACCCACAAAAAGGGACAAGGACACAAGCAAGACAGCAAGCAGCAGCAGCGGCAGGTGGCGGACGTGGCCCCCCGAACGGGGCACACGCACCCACCCCCTGACCTTAGGAGCAGCAAGCAGAAGCAAAAAAAAAAAAAAACACACACACAACGACAAACCGAACCAACACACCACAACGACGACGACAGCCCACATGACAGAGAGAACAGCAACAGCAGCAGCAGCAGCAGCAGCAGCAGGAAGGCAGCGGACGTGGCCCCCCCACCGGGGCACACGCACCCGCCCCTTGACCTTAGGAGCAGCGGCAGCAACAGCAGAAGCAAGCAGCAACCAGGAGCACAACCACAAGAAGAAAGACAACAAGAAGCAGCACGACACACAAGAAGGCCAAAGACAACAACAGACGACCAAGGGGGACACGAAAAAACCCACAAAAAGGGACAAGGACACAAGCAAGACAGCAAGCAGCAGCAGCGGCAGCTGGCGGACGTGGCCCCCCGAACGGGGCACACGCACCCACCCCCTGACCTTAGGAGCAGCAAGCAGAGGCAAGAACAACGACGAGCCGAACCAACACACCACAAAGACGACAACAGCCCACACGACAGAGAGAACAGCACCAGCAGCAGCAGCAGCAGCAGCAGCAGGAAAGCAGAGGACGTGGCCCCCCCACCGGGGCACACGCACCCGCCCCTTGACCTTAGGAGCAGCGGCAGCAACAGCAGAAGCAAGCAGCAACCAGGACCACAACCACAACAAGAAAGACAACAAGAAGCAGCACGACACACAAGAAGGCCAAAGACAAAAAACAGCCGACCAAGAGGGACACAAAAAAAACCCACAAAAAAGAACAAGGACACAAGCAAGACAGCAAGCAGCAGCAGCGGCAGGTGGCGGACGTGGCCCCCCGAACGGGGCACACGCACCCACCCCCTGACCTTAGGAGCAGCAAGCAGAGGCAAAGTCAACGACGAGCCGAGCCAACCCACCACAAAGACAACAACAGCCCACACGACAGAGAGAACAGCAGCAGCAGAAGCAGCAGCAACAGCAGGAAGGCAGCGGACGTGGCCCCCCCCACCGGGGCACACGCAACTGCCCCTTGACCTTAGGAGCAGCGGCAGCAACAACAGAAGCAAGCAGCAACCAGGACCACACCAACAACAAGAAAGACAACAACAAGCAGCACGACAAACAAGAAGGCCAAAGACAAAAACAGACGACCAAGAGGGACAGAAAAGGACCCACAAAAAGGACAAGGACACCAACAAGACAGCAAGCAGCAGCGGCAGGTGGCGGACGTGGCCCCCAGAACGGGGCACACGCACCCACCCCCTGACCTTAGGAGCAGCAAGCAGAGGCAAAAACAACGACGAGCCGAAGCAACACACCAAAAAGACGACGACAACCCACACACACGACAGAGAGAACAGCAGCAGCAACAGCAGAAGCAAGCAGCAACCAGGACCACACCCACAACAAGAAAGACAACAACAAGCAGCACGACAAACAAGAAGGCCAAAGACAAACAACAAAAACAAAAAAAAAAAAAACGACCAAGAGGGACAGAAAAGGACCCACAAAGAGGACAAGGACACCAACAAGACAGCAAGCAGCAGCGGCAGGTGGCGGACGTGGCCCCCCGAACGGGGCACACGCACCCACCCCCTGACCTTAGGAGCAGCAAGCAGAGGCAAAAACAACGACGAGCCGAAGCAACACACCACAAAGACGACGACAACCCACACGACAGAGAGAACAGCAGCAGCAGCAACAGCAGGAAGGCAGCGGACGTGGCCCCCCCACCGGGGCACACGCATCCGCCCCTTGACCTCAGGAGCAGCGGCAGCAACAGCAGAAGCAAGCAGCAACCAGGACCAAAACAACAAGCACAAGAAAGACAACAACAAGCAGCACAACAAACAAGAAGGCCAAAGACAACAACAGACGACCAAGAGGGACACAAGAGGGACCACAAAAAGGAACAAGGACCCAAGCAAGACAGCAAGCAGCAGCAGCGGCAGGTGGCGGACGTGGCCCCCCGAACGGGGCACACGCACCCACCTCCTGACCTTAGTAGCAGCAAGCAGAAAGCAGAAGCAAAAAAAAAAAAAAAAAAAACGACAAGCCGAACCAACACACCGCACAGACGGCGACAGCCCACACGACAGCGAGAGCAGCAGCAGCAGCAGCAGCAACAGGAAGGCAGTGGACGTGGCCCCCCCACCGGGGCACACGCACCCGCCCCTTGACCTTAGGAGCAGCGGCAGCAACAGCAGAAGCAAGCAGCAACCAGGACCACAACCACAACAAGAAAGACAACAAGAAGCAGCACGACACACAAGAAGGCCAAAGACAACAACAGACGACAAAGAGCGCTACACTGCCACATCAGGTGCAGCCAGCTACCATCAAGAGCGCTGTTCCGACATGAAACGGTAACTACAAAAAGACGTCGCATGTTCATGGCAGCAACATCAGATGAGTATCCACGTGCGAACACATGAAGCTTGTCAAGACACTACGGCCTGCCAACCGATCAGCAGTCGCAGGCCCACCTGTACGTGGCACCTGCCCTACACGGCCACATCAGTTTCAGCTGCCATCATGATCTGTGTTCCTACATGAAATGGCTGCGGCCAAGTAGATTTCAGCGCTTTACCTCATGATCTGTCCTCCTACATGAAATGGCTGCGGCCAAGTGTGCCATCCTTCAGCTTGAACTCTGACCAATGAATCCGTTGACTATAATCAGGTAATCACTGCCAGCAGCCTGGAACTTCCTAAGCCGCCACCCTGCGCTGCCCAATATCCTTCGCTGGGCGCTGCTTGTACCCCTTGCATGCTGTGTAGACATGATTACAGTAGACGCCCAAAAGTTGGAAACCCCATAGCCTCAATCGTTTACCCTGAAACCCTGAACCCTCAACCCTGAACCCTATACCCGAAGCCTTACAGCAAAAAGTGCTGGCCTCGGTGTCGAAGGTGATGTCCACAGAGCAGACGGAGCCAAAAAGGCTCCCTAACATGGAGGACATGCCGACAAGGTAATGTAGTAATAGCACTCGTATTAGTATTAATATTAGTATTAGTATTAGTATTAGTATTAGTATTAGTATTAGTATTAGTATTAGTATTAGTATTAGTATTAGTATTAGTATTAGTATCAGTATCAGTATCAGTATCAGTATTAGTATTAGTATTAGTATTAGTATTAGTATTAGTATTAGTATTAGTATTAGTATTAGTATAGTAGTAGTAGTAGTAGTAGTAGTAGTAGTAGTAGTAGTAGTAGTAGTAGTAGTAGTAGTAGTAGTATTAGTATTAGTATTAGTATTAGTATTAGTATTAGTATTAGTATTAGTATTAGTATTAGTATTAGTATTAGTATTAGTATTAGTATTAGTATTAGTAGGGGTATTAATATTAGTATTAGTATTAGTATTAGTATTAGTATTAGTATTAGTATTAGTATTAGTGTTAGTATAAGTGTTAGTGTTAGTATTAGTATTAGTATTAGTATTAGTATTCGTATTAGTATTAGTATTCGTAGTCGTATTCGTATTAGTATTAGTATTAGTATTAGTATTAGTATTAGCATTCGTATTCGTATTCGTATTCGTATTCGTAGTCGTATTCGTATTCGCATTCGCATTCGCATTCGTATTAGTATCAATATCAGTATTAGTATTAGTATGAGTATGAGCATTAGTATTAGTATCAGTATTAGTATTAGTATCAGTATTAGTATTCGTATTCGTATTAGTATTAGTATCAGCAATAATAGTAATAGCCTTGGCCTCCCGAAGCTTTCGTTGCATAACGTGTTTCATACTCTCTGATTGAATGAAGCGATAAATCGGTTCGTTTAAGCTGAATCTCAACCCTGAGTGTCCACAACCCTTGATCGCGAAACAGCAATTGCGATGGCCCTCAGTGACGACATCCCTAAACCAAACTCAAATCCAAAACTTAAGTTTTGAATGGTGAAGCTCAAGCCCTGGACAAAACACCCCGACTTTAATGTGAAGCTCCAGCAGACAATTCCTGAGACAAGGCCCACACAAACTAGAGGGGTCATGGTTGAGCCGAAGCCTCGATGCGGCTGAGGTTGAGGCAAATCTGCAGGTTCGGCTTAGAGCTTGCCCCGAACCTTTCTCGGGCTTATGACTCAGGTCAGATGAAGGCCCCGATGGCCTCGAGATGCTGACTGATTGTGAATACAAGTATGCGCAAGATCATGAAGATCAGTTCGAAGAATGCCGATTCTCCATGCAACGTGCACACCTGCAGGCTTGTAAGCATTATTCTTGGAGGTATGTCTTTTCGGTGCCGCTGACTTGTTCAAGATCCGATCCCGCCGGGCGAACTGAGGAAATGGCTCAACAGTACCACGAGTTAAGCTACCTCGGTCGATCCGGAAGTAGGAATCACTGATCAGGGTAGATGAAGAAGTAAGCAGTAGATGATAATGGTTTTTCATACACCAGCACATGTTATCAGATACTATCACTTGTTGGAGGAAAACCGTCAATCGCTACTTCGCTATGACAGTCGCGCCTTGTCATGGCTTCGACGTTGGTGGAGGCGCATACAATAGATTTCGATATAGTACAGTAGAGCAACAGAACAGAAAATGATACAATCTTTTACACTAAAGTCTTGCGTGCGCATCCCATGCGAGCTTCCACGGCAGGTGCTCGCCCTCCTCATCCTGGCTTTCACATAGAACAAATCTGAGGGGGGGCAAGCAGCAGATGCGCTCCCAGTCGTCTCAATTGCATTGAAAAATGTCACCTGCCCCAGCAGGGACAGGTCCTTTTCAAGCGTGAGTATCTCGCATTCCTTCATGTATGTGTCGTGTCTATGCTGAGGACCAAGGTAGCAGCTTGTTGAAAGCTCCAGCCGAACGTCGGTTTGATCATTCCATTGAGCCATGTGGATGTTGCCTCTGATGCTCTTTCATATGGGCTGCCTGGTGCTCTCTCGAAGGGCCAAAGAAGTGGTGGAACATTTGGAGCACGAGGTTTCGGGGAAGCTGTGCAAGAAGACCTTCTTATCAGGCTGCCAGCCCGCCGCAGTGTGTGAGCAGGACTACGAGGGTGTCTGCGACCTGAAGTACGATGAGGACTTGGTGTTGGAGTTCAAAGAGAGCAAATCCTCGCTGGTTGCCACGGCGGCTGCATAGCTTGTCGTGAGTTTGTTGTTTTGGTCGACAGTGTTTTCGGTAAGTACTTGAGCTTGCATTGCTTCGCCTTGCGCCGCACTGCTAGCTCAAGCTGTCGACCCGGATCGCTTCCGATTTTAGCTTTTTCACGCATTGCATTTGCTTAGCTTGCTTGCAGCTCTACTAGCAGCTTTACATGTGCTTCCTACACAGCTTGAGTTTGCTTGCATTCATACTTTCTTCCGAGCTAGGCTTCTTTTGCTCCGCTCTGCTCCGCGCCATGGGTCGCCAAGGGCAGATCAAACGGCCGCGCACCGAGCCTGCAGTCGCTTCTGCCAGCACCGCAGTGCACTCGCCCACACATGCTCAGCTTGTTGTGGCTCGCTGGGCCCTCTGGCGCCGTTCTCCAGGGTCCTTTGCCATGCCCAGCACTGCTTCCTGGATTGCATGTCTTGAGTCGGCATGCTCAGCAGGTTTCTTGCTCAGCTTCCTCTGCTTCTTTGACTGCCAGTGCCTTGCTCAGCTTTGCGTCGCTTCGCACCGGCATCTTTGCACTTCTTGGGACGTCTCTCCTTCTTGCAGACGCATTCTGCTCAGCGTGGCCTTCCGCGATCGCACCCAGCCTGAGGATTTTTGTTGGCGCTATCAACAAGCTAGGCCCTGCCCCTTTAACAATACCCCGCCTCGCTTGATTCTCGTCAGGCGCCGCCTGGCACTCTGGTCTTCATCGCCCCGCGTTTTCTTTCAGGCGGATTCGACTCTGAGCGTTTGCTGGTTTCAATTCAGAGTTGCGGGTCACTTCTTTAGTTGCTTCTGCACGGCTTCTTTCCGCAGCTTATCTTCAGCAAGCAGAGAAGCACGCACTGCTCTTAGCCAGCTCTACCATTTCACCCCAGCCGAGATTGCAACCCTAGCTTAAGTCCCGCCCCGCCCCTGTTGTCATGTCTTCAGGGTCCGAATGGCTCCGCTACTCCGCTCAGGAACTGCTCCGCAACGCACCGGCTCCTGTGTGGCGCGCCGATGACAGCCCGCCCAGCACTGCATCAGTTTGGTCTAGCACGCCCAGCAGCCTCCGCAGCAGCGTGGTGGCCGCGGCATGTGCCAGAGCCGAAGCATCCGCCTCGCGCCGAGCTGAAGCTTGGCTTGCCTCGCAACGCACCGCCCATGCCGCAGCATCTCCTGCATCGCACAGCTCCAGTTTTGTGGATCTCGCCTTGGAGGAGGACACACTACTGGATCGCCGCATTCTGCACCGCATCTGCTCTGCATCGCTGCCGGAAGAGATCCGGGCACTGCACTGCTGCTCCCAGGCACTCTGGGAGCAGTGGTCGGAGATACGGCAACGCGAGCATCTCTTTTTGTTCTGCGATTTTTCCAGCACCGCACCGCCCTGCGCTGCCCTGTGGTACCGCAGGCCTCTGCTTCAGCTCGGCATTTCTTCTGTGCCGATTTATTCTTTGCGCGAGGCGCAGCCCAGCAACGCTGACGTCATGGTAGATTTTCTACCAGGTGATTTTTTCCACCCATATGCAATCGCACCGCGCCGCAACTGCTGTGCCGCAAGCCCTGTTTCACGCACAGCACATTAGCACAGCACCGTTTTTTGTGGCTTTTCTACATTGCACCGCAAAAGCATTCTTGCCAGCATCCTTGTTGCATGTCGGTTTTCAGCCTTATGTTCAGCCTTGCCTTAGTGTACTTCGCGTCTGCCAGGCACTTCTTCTTCGACTTCGACATCTACCTTTGGCTCGCGGGCCTGCTGCTTTTCGGTCGGGGCCGCCCCGCCTCAGTCTTGCAAACCCTCGCTTGGGTCGCGGCTGCACCGCTATGTCCTGCCTCAGGTCAACCAATCTTTGGGCGACATCCCCTTTTTCGGCACCGCTGGCTGCTTTCAGGAGCCGCCTGCCCTGCTCTCGTTTCTGGCTGCGCTCAGCTCGCCTGGACTCAGGTCCTACTTCGTCTTCTGCTTCGCGATCGCTTCGCCTAGTACTGTGTTCGGCAAGCTGCCCTGGTTGCTCCTGCCTCCTTTGCTTTGCCGTTTTTCTGCTCAGGTCTGCACCTCTTCTTCTTTGCGCCCCGACGGTCTTGGCCTCAGCTCTTTGCACGCCTTGCTCTGCCTCGCTTTTTTCAGCATTGGCTTGCCGACTTGTTGGTTTCCCTCCGCGCTTCGGCTCAGCGGGCTACGCAAGGCTCGTCGCACAGCTTCTCGGCCAAGGACTCATTTCGTCTTTCAGCCCCGCTAGTGGCCCCAGCCTCCTAAGGCACAGCACTACAGACAGCTCTGCTTCACATCAGCTTAGCATACTTAAGCACACATCCGATCATTAAGAGACTGACTTTTTCACTCTTCTTGCCCTGCACCGCTCCTGCATCATGTCCGGCCTGGGCGCTGCCTGGGTCGCACTCGCCTCTGCGACCAATGAGGAATTGGTCGAATCTGCACAGCGCCTTGGGCCCCTGCAAAGCCTCAGGCTCAGCGCCTGCCTCACGCACGGCGCCTATCTGGCCGAGATCGAAACGCACTGCAAGGGCAACAAGACGCCCCGCGAGCCCCTGCAACCTATTCCGGAACCCCCGGCCAGCTCTGCACCTTCCGACCCCCCCGCACAGCCAACGCCTGTTTCCGCACCAGCACCGCAGGCTGCTCCTGCGGCCACTGCCACACCTGAGCCTGCCGTTGCTCAGCCTTCCCCCGCACCCGCCGCCTTTCATGACCCCCGCGGCACATACCCGCCTATCCCAGCACCGCCACCGCAGGCCAAGAGCTCAGTGCCTGTGAAAGCAATGCCTGCATACCCGCCTGGTGCATTCTACCTGACACCAGTGGGAGACCAGTTTCTCGCAGCCCCGCACCCTGCACCATGCTCCGGCCCCGCTACTCAGTCTTGGGCCGATATGTCGGATCCTGCACAGCAACCACCGCTTGACTTCGTCAACCCCGCACCGCCACCAGCGCCAGTGTGGCCCAAGCAATTCACGCAGCAAGAAAAACGCTGCGCCGATCCCACACCGGCTCCCCCCGCCCCGCACCCTCAGCCCCGCCCCAGCACTGCTAAAGAACGGCGAGAGAGCCGCCCCCCGCCCCGCAACGAAGACTTTATCGCTGCTGCCGACGTCCCCGCAGAGGACGATCTGACCCAAGCACCGCAAATCGGCACCTGGAGCCAAGCATCGCATGCCACGGCGGCTGCATACCATGCCGACCATCGTCTTAGCGATTTGGTGAGGTTTATCCCCGGTCTTCAGCGCATGATCCCTTACAGCAAGGCCTTCCAGGAGGTCAGCCCAAGTGAAGTGCCACTGCTTGCTGCTGCGATGAACTCATCCACCCGCGAGTTTCTGGATTCCGTTTCCCAAGTTACGGCAGCTCTGGAGCAACAAGGAGGACAAGCTGTGAACTTCAGTACCTTGGACAGAGCAGACATGCTTGAGAGACATGCATTTTCGATTGCTTCATGCTGCATTCCCAACCAGACATCCTTGCAGCTCTGCAATCTCAGGTGCCATGTTCGAGATCATGCAGAATCAGAGCTTTCAGATGACCGATGCCCCAGCCCTGATGGTCCAAGCCTTCCCCAGCATGGCAAGGAAGGAAGTCGCGTCCGCCATGGAGAACGTTGCTGCCACCATGGCAGAGGTACCCGCTTGTGAGGACCCTAGGTCTCTGGCTTGCGGCAAAGGCCTGTTGGCCAAGGTGCTGCCAACAGCTGAAGCCCAAGTTGAGAAGCTGACGGCATTGCTTGGAAAGATCGAGCAGAAGGTGCTTGGCACCGGACTTTTGCAAGTTGCAGGTGAAGGTGAGGGTGTCGGAGATTTCCTTATGTGCTGGGTAGGGAAGGCGATTGCCATCCTGACCTTTCAGTACTTCCTGGTGCTCTCGGTCTTCTTCTTTGCCTTGTGGATGCCTGTGATTCTTAGTAGCTGAGTGGATACACTTTACACTTTTTGGGATAGTATAACCCACTATAAAACTAAAGTGTACACTTTTTGGGGGCTTATGAACTCAGCAACTAAGGATCCCCATCATGGTAGCCATGGTCTTTTTCTGGAGCTTCCTCCTGCCCTGCGGGCTCTACCTGGTCCCGAAGGTGATCCTGGAGGCAGTGGGGCTCGGAGCCGGGCCACAGGGGATGCAGGCGCTTTGAGGGAGCTGGCCACAGTGAACTTGAGCTGAGGCGCTTCGGGGGTAGATGTAATTCAGAGCGTGCGCTGCCCTTTCCGTTCCGGCTTGCATGCTCCGAGAAAATGGCCCCGCTTGAGTGGACTGCTGACAATAGCCTCTTTCAGTGAGAAGACTCGAGCTTGTCAGTTTCGTTTGGTCCGTGCATCTCAAGACCTGAAGATGCACGATCTTGGAAAATTCCACCCAAGATGTGGAGGCTGCAGATTTAGTGTCTGGGGTGGTATCCTTTTCTGTACTAGATAAGCCACAAGTTGCCATGTTTTGTCGAAGCTTATGCTCAAACTCCTTCACCAGCCGAAAGCCAAGCTGCGCCGAGCTGATGGCAAGATCATCTGCGCAAGATGTCGCAGATGATCTCGACGACGAGATGATGCAGGAAACCGGCAAGGAGCTGAAACCGCCGGCCAAGATCCCAGCCGCCTCGCTTTGCAAGCTCTTTTCGATGATGGATGCCGTGGAGGCAGTCGTATTGTTGCTTGGATGCATCGGAGCCATTGGTAACGGGCTGTCGCAGCCCCTCATGTGCATTGTTTTTGGTGACCTCATCGACGGCATGGGCGAAGGCACCGGGGGTGCTGAGACCTTCAGCCCTGAGCAGATGCAGGCTGCGATGGATGCAATGATGACGAAGATGGAGGAGCTTTGCATCACCATGACACTGGTGGGTGCGGGTGCGACGCTGGCGGCAACTTTGCAGGGATGCTTTTTCAAAATCTTTGCTGAGAAGCAAGCCTTGAAGTTCCGGGTGCTCTACTTTGACTCGGTGCTCCACCAGGATGTGAGTTGGTACGACAACAAGGAAGTTGCAGCTTTGCCGGCCGAGATCAATGACGATCTTGAGAAGATCCAAGATGCTTTTGGAGACAAGTTCGGAAATGGAGTCATGTCCACTGCCGCATTCGTTGGTGGCTTTGGCTGTGCCTTTGGCATGGGTTGGCTCATTGCACTGGTGATGTGCGCTACATTGCCATTCATGGGCATTGGTGCAGCCATCATGGGACAGGCTGTCCAGGAAATTCAGAATGAGACACAGAGTTGCTATGCCAAGGCCTCCGCTGTTGTTGAGGAGTGTCTGCACGCCATGCGCACAGTCGTTTCCTTCGGCGGGGAGCACCGCGAACTGAAGAAGTTCTCAGCCGCTGTCCTCGAAGCCCGCAGGGGCGGGGTGAAGAATGGCTTCAAGATTGGGGCAGGGCTGGGCTACACTATGATGATCATGTACCTGGGATATGGCCTGGCCTTCTGGTTCGGCATGACGTTAAGGTATAACGATGAGATCAACCCGGCCACCGGCAGGCTCTGGGAGCCCGGGGTGATCTTGGCCATCTTTTTCTGCATCTTCGTTGGCAGTTTCATGATCGGCAACCTTGACCCGAGCCTGAAGGCCATGAAAGCAGCCCAGAGTGCCGCGGGGCGGTTCTTCCAGGCCATGGAGAGCAAGCCCAAGATCCAGTGTCGCCTGGAGGACCGGCGTCAGGACATCGAGAGCATCGAGAAGTTCGACTTCCGAGAGGTGCACTTCACGTATCCCGCACGTCCTGACGTCAAGGTCCTGAACGGCTTGTCCCTGACCATCCAGCGCGGGAAGAAGACCGCCGTGGTCGGTGAGTCGGGCTCGGGAAAGTCAACCGTCATGGCTCTACTAGAGCGATTTTACGACCCGGACTCCGGCGAAGTATTGGTGAACGGCCAGAGCATGACCGATTTTAAAGTGTCTTCTCTGCGACGGTGCATTGGCTACGTGGGACAGGAGCCGGTTCTTTTCGCCAGCTCCATCCACCGCAACATCATGCAGGGTAACCCCTCCGCGAGTAAGGAAGACTTCTCCAAGGCCTGTGCTGATGCCCAGCTTGGCTTTGTTGATACGCTGCCCGAGAAGTACAGCACTTTTGTGGGTAGCGCTGGGGGTCAGCTTTCGGGAGGCCCGGCACGGTCCCCAATGAAGGCTTTTGTTGGGTGTTGAGAGGGTTGAGGGTTCCCTGAAACAGACAGCCCTGAGGTCAGAAGCAGCGCATCGCAATTGCCCGGGCTTTGCTCAAGAAAGCTTCCTTCCTCTTCTTGGATGAGGCCACCAGTGCTTTGGATAATGCCTCGGAGAAGATGATCCAGGCCACCATCGACAGCATCAGCGCAACTACGGCTGAAGGTTTGGGTATTGTGAGTATTGCCCATCGCCTAAGTACTGTGCCCAATTCTGACCTCATTTACGTTCTCAGCCGCGGGCAATTGGTGGAGCAGGGGAACCATGCATTTCTTATGGAGAAGCAGGGCACCTACTACGCCTTGGTCGCGGCGCAGGAGTCTGTCCACCAGGCGGACGAGCAGGAGACAGCGGAAATGTCCCCGGTGCCGCGCGACCAGACCGTGCACGCCAAGCGCTCCTCCACACTCTCCGGTGAGTCCGAGAACCAGCGCATTCAGCGGGAAAAGGAGGCCGAAGCCAACCGGGAGAAGGAGATATCCAAAGACTACAAGGCCCGTGAGCACTTGAAGCTTCTAGGGCATCTTCTTGTTCCAAAGGTATCGACGGTATGGTGAAACTGAATCCAACGACTAAAAGTGACAAAAATGAAGATCAGGTGCCTATGAGACGGCTCTTCAGCTACAACAGGCCCGAGTGGCCCTTCTTCGTGCCCGCCATTCTCGGCGCAATGGTCGACGGCGCAGCAAATCCCGTCTGCACGATTGCCCTCGTTGGCTCGATGAAGGCCTTTTTCAAGCCGGACAAGGATTGTTGATGGGCGTCATATCTATTCCTGTTTCGACCCTGAAAAACTTCTATGTGTAGCGCCATCGGCATTGCTACTGATATTGCCGTGAACCGCCGTGCTTAGGATGATGGATGATGAGTGTAGTCTTTCTCATGGCCGCTGTGTTTCTCCTGCTATCATGTATATGCTGATCCTTGTTGCCCAGACCGCAGCCTTGGTGGCCTGGTGCCCCCTGAAATCACCGACCTGCCCACTGGAACTAAGGCACGCTTGTGCGACTGGTTTCGAAGGTTTCGACTACTGACTACTGCCTGTATCTCTTTTGCCCCCCCCGTTTCTGTAAGCTATCGAGGAGGAAATGAGGGCAGACTTGGAGATGATGGCTTTGGCTTTCGTCATCGTTGGCGCAAGTGCCTTCGTGGGCTCCACCATATCCCACGGCTGCTTCTCTGTCCTTGGCGAGGCGAGCGGGTGGTCTCAACGCTAGCAGTGCTGGTGGCAATGAGTACTGGACTTTACTGCTGTCCGGTAGCACAGCAACTGACACAACGCAAGCGGTGGCAGCAGTGACCTGCGAACATGATGGCAGGTTCTGCCAGAGTGAAGATGCCACGAATGTTGTAGTAGGTACAGCCTCATTCTTAGTCTTCGAATGGATGCAACGGATGTGACAACAAGCTTAGTTGCATCAGTATCGTTGTCATGGCATAGTCGAAATAGAAACAGCCGTCGCATAACTTAAAGAAAAAAAACAGAACTTTAGAACGAGGCCACTAACGAAATCCGGAAGTGTATGAATGACGGTCATACCGTTCACGGTCATCAAATTGCTTGCTGGAACCTTCGCACTAACCCTCAACTCCAATCCGAAATCGTGTCCCCCCATGAACAAAAGCTCTCGCAATCCTATCCCTCCCAAACCCCAAAAACTCCCTAAAACCCAAACTCTAAACCACCCTAGCTGCATCTGCTCTCGGAGGCGATGACGCAGCGTCTGAGAGTCGCAATCCTCACAGGCTTGTTCCGTCAAGAGGTGCGGTTTGGGTTCGTGATGTAGGCTTCAGGGTTTCGGATTCAACATCCACGGTTTCCGGAGCTAAAAGCATATGTATATATGTATAGTTTACATATACATAACTAAATTAATAGGTACATAAGGAGAGAGAGAGAGAGAGAGAGAGAGAGAGAGAGATATATATATATATATATACACATGTATGCATGCATGTATGTATGTATGTACGTCTGCATGTATGTAAGTAAGTAAGTAAGTAAGTATGTATGTATGTATGTGGGTATGTATCAGATAGAGTTAGCTGGATTTACAGATAGATGGATAGATGGAAAGATGGATGGATGCCTAACAGATGCATACTTACGCAGTAGATAGATAGGTACATGGGTTGTAGGTGCGTAGTGAGATATCTAGCGGTATGCACAGTGTGTGTGTGTATGTGCACGTGTCAGTGTCTGTGCGTGTGTGTGTGTGTGTGTGTGGGCATATGTGTGTCTGCACGTATTTGTGTGTGTGTGTGTGTTGTTGTGCGTGTTTTTCTTTTTGTGTGTGTGTGTGATTGTGAACTAAAAGAGGTTCGAATGCATTCAACAGCCGCGCCGCAGGTCGAAAGTAAATCGTCACCGTGCACCTCACCTAACCCATTGTACCTTAAATGAAATCGTACACCCATGTTTGTTTGTTTGTTTGTTTGCGTGTTCATACTCTGGAACTATCTGTCTATTTATCTCTCTACCTATCAGTCAAGCCTGTCTATCCTTTATTCTCAGAGACCCGAAAGCCACAAACTCCTCTGGTAAGGAATGTTTCCTAGAGCATCGTCGGAATCTTGATGAAAGGATCCTTACTTAAGTTTTTTTCTTCAAACCTCTTGGTACCCTAAACCCTAAACCGTTACAAGGTGGGCTTCCATGACGACCCGAGGAACACCCCGGGGATGCTCTCCAAGGCTTTGGAGCTCTGGGCCTTTCGAGTGACGACGCTGTGCAAGTCCGTGCAAGCCAAGGTGGGAAGCCCAATAGCCTCAATCCTTAAGAGTAGGAGAGGGCACGGGAGCAGGAGCAGGGCGCGTATAGGGAGTAGTGGGTCCGAGAGTAAGAATCGCGAGGCAGCAGCGATGAGTTCGTTGGTTGTTGGTCTTGTGATTGCCTTCGTCTACTGCTGGCAGATGTCTCTTGTGATGCTGGGCTCTATACCAGTCATGGTCGCAGCGACTTCGCTTCAGTACTTAGTGGTACTCGGCGCTTCGAAGAACGAGAACGACAACATCACCAATGCCAACCAAATCGTGGTGGACTCCGTCATGAACGCTCGCACAGTACAGGCATTGTGCGCTGAGAAAGGCCTGGTCAGCATGTATGTGAGTTGGGTGGAAAAGTCCATGGTTGGCATGTGGAGGCGAAATATCCTTGCTGGCATGGGTTTCGGCATTTCCAATGGGATATTCTTCTTCATCATGGCCGGTGGCTTCTACATCGCTTCCTGGCTAATCAAGGAGAATGTGGCAGACTTCGAGGGGGTGATGATGGCCTTCATGGGCATCTTCTACGCAGGCATGGGGGCTGGCCAGGCTGCGGTGATGGTGGGAGATGCATCGAAGGCCAAGGTTGCATGTCATGACATGTTTCAGCTTATGGACCGCATCTCCGCCATCGATGGCCTTGAGCCTACCGGTGACGCCCCCAAGGAACTGGAGGCTGGTCGGATTGAGTTCCTTGATGTGAAGTTCTTCTACCCCTTCCGCCCGGAGGTCTTGGTACTCAAAGGTTTCTTGGCTCTTCAAGGGGAGCTCGCATTGATGATTGAAAGCCCCGGGCCCAGGAACTGAAAGTTCCGGGCCCAAGGACCCCAAACAACTCAGGCCTCTAATTAAAGCCCGAAATCCTCAATCCTGAACCCCCAAACCCCAGGTACCAGCTTCAGCATCTTCCCTGGACAGTCTGTCGGCTTGGTTGGCCCTTCCGGGGGCGGCAAGAGCACGGTCACCGGGCTCTTGTAAAGGAATCGATTTCAAGTCACCATACTAAGTGCGGCTTACTATCTGCTTCTGTGTGTCTCACTGCTATGTCAACTTTGCATGAAGATCCCTTTAATAATTACCTATACCATCTTGTGGGCTCCTTATTATAGTTATGGTATAATATAATATTTCCCAAAACCCTAATCCAGTTATGCAGCAAGATGACAGGTGATGTCCTTAATCCAGCGCTTCTACGATCCCCAGCAGGGCCAGGCCAGGAGCACGCGGGGTTTCAGGTATAGGGTTTAGGGTTTAGGGTTTAGGGGGTATTGGGTTTAGGGTATTGGGTTTAGGGTATTGGGGTGGTTGGAGGGTTTTGGGGTGTGTTGTATAGCTCTTTCTTTTTCAGGTGGGGAGCGGGTCGGTGGTTCAACGCTCAAGGTGGTTTGATGTTGGGGATTTAGGATCTGGTGGCGGGCGGAGTTTAGTTCGGGGGGTTAGGGTCTGGAGATTCAGGGTTTCGGAGAATTAGGGTTTAGGGTTTAGGGTTTAGGGTTTAGGGTTTAGGGTTACCCCGATTCAGGTCCTCATCGGGGCGGACCGGGTGCCTCTAAGCACAGTGAACATCCGTTGGTGGAGGCGACAGGTCGGCTTCGTTGGCCAGGAGCCGATCCTCTTCAACACGACTGTGCGTGCGAATATCATGTACGGCCTGGATGACAATGAGACGGTCAGTGACGAGCACATTTGCCGATGTGAGAAGATTTCCAACCTTGCCTTCCTGCACAAGAACGGCAACAAAGGCTTGGAGACGGAGGTTGGCCCCAGAGGTAGCCGCCTCTCGGGCGGCCAGAAGCAGCGTGTGGCGATTTGCCGGGCGTTGATGCGCAACCCACCAGTCATGCTACTGGATGAGGCAACCAGTGCATTAGACACGCAGAGCGAGGCAATCGTGCAGAAGGCGCTTGAAGCTGCGAGCGAAGGGCGCACCTCCTTCGCCATAGCCCACCGGCTGTCCACCATCCAAGGCTGCGACGTGATTCTCGTGAATGCTGACGGCCGCGTGGTGGAGATGGGAAGTCACGCAGAATTGATGGCCTCCAAAGGAGTGTATTACAAGCTGCAGATCCAGGCACAGAAGTGACCCAGGCAGCCTCCTGGTTTCCTGGGAGTCCGAATTTGTGCCGGTGAGTATCCGAAGGTGAAGGTACCTTGGATAGTCAACCGTCAGGTGAACAATCTCCAGTTACTACATGCAACTGTTAAACAGCTGCAGGTATCTGGCGATGTTCCATGCATTTTTGTGACAGCGGGCTGTACAGCTCGACGGAGTTTTGAATGGCAGAGGCATTCATGAAGTTCCGCACTCGCCGCTGTCTCCACGCTGCTTTCTGAGCGGCCCGACATGGGCAGTTCCGAGGGCAGGGGCGGGGAGTCCTGCATTTGCCAGGCTTCCGGCCGAGCAGATAGCCTTGCAGGTACTTGGCATCCTGACACTGGAGAAAGCTCCTGCAGGACTAGCTTTTCAATTTCTTTTGTACAGGCCAGAGGTGCTGGCATGGTTGAGCGCCAGTAGGCGGTGCACCAGACACTGGCAACACGCGTAGGTACCATGCGTATATTGGAGCGAAGCTGCCAGCCAAATATTCGTGCTCATATCCTTGGCCTGCCGAAGCTTTCGTTGCATAATTTGTTTCATTCTCTGATTGAATCAATCGATGATTCGTTCTGAATCTCAACCCTCAGTGTCCACAACCGCGAAACAGCAAATGCGATGCCCCTCAGTGACGACACCCCTAAACCAAATTCAAATCCCAAACCTGAAGTTTTGAATGGTGAAGCTCAATCCCTGGACAAAGCACCCCGACTTTGATGTGAAGCTCCAGCAGAAAATGCCCGAGACAAGGCCAACACAATTGCAGGCTGGGTTACGGTTGAGCCGAAGCCTCGACGCGGTTGAGGTTGAGGCAAATCTGCAGGTTCGGGTTGGAGCTTGTCCCGAACCTTTCACGGGCTTATGATGCAGGTTAGATGAAGACCTCGATGGTCTCGAGATGCTGACTGACTTATGCGCAAGATCATGAAGATCATTTCGAATAATGCCATTTCTGCATGCAACGTGCGCACCTGGAGTTGAGTGGACTCGAGCTCAGGCACTTCGAGGTGGGCTGCTGACAACAGCCTCATTCAGTGACAAGCCTTGCTGAGACGGAACTTTTCTATCGATGAGACACAAACTAGCACAATGATGCGATGTTTTTGGAACATTTTCAGGCGAATGTGTCTTTTAAACTCTCCATCGGTTCAAGAAAAATGATTGTCCTCGAAATCTGAGCAGGTTCTGGACGACGAGACGGGCAGAAACCGAAGATCGCACTGTCTCGAGCTCGCGATGCCAACAAGGAAGAACACCCAGGTCATCCGAAGAGAACTCGCAGAATTCGCATGATACCGATCTTCAAAAAGTACTGTAGTCATATTGTTGTTGCAAGAAGCAACGACAGGCATGTTGGCAACATGGAACTGTGGCATGAAGTCACAGGAAACTGATGTCTTAATTGATCCACCGAGTTTTTCAGATCTTCCCCGCGCAGTTTCGGATTTCTCTCATTCTGAGACGAGGCGTTCCATCGCAAACTCTCTTTTTTCGGAACCTGGTGTTTGAAGGGTTCTGCTTTGATTTATCTGTTCGTCCTTAATTGTTCTTGGGCTCCCGCCGTCAAAAGCCTCCACCTCGAGATAGTGCGCAGAGTGAAAGAGACCATGGATTCGCAGGAGCTCTGAAGAGTCGCACAGAAGAAGCCAGGGACCTCGTGAAAAAAACGCGGAAATCCGACAAGACACATTGGCACTCATGGCGGTTTCGAGGGATCTAGACATCCATTAGGAATGCTGGGGCGAGAGGAGCGGTCAGGAAAAGCCGATCGTGGGGGACTTCTGACTTCTAGACTGCATGTCTTGGCCGACCCCTAAGATCGAAACCGTAGGTCTTTTCCTGTCTGCGATTGCTGGAGGCATGTTGGGAAGCCGTATTTCGTTCATAACGATGCTGCCTCTTACATGGTCTGCATGTTCACAGCCTGTTGTGGCCCAACCAGCACTTCACACTTAGCAGCCTACTAGGATTCGAGAGATCCGCGCCAAGCGACAACAACTGAACCGACTAGCTCAGCTCGGCGTAGCTCTGACTGCCAAGTGTTGATGTAGCCGTGATTGTCGATGTGCTAAAGCCGCTAAAGCCATGCACATCCGAGTCAAGGCTCGTTTCCGATTTGCACGGGTAACCTGCGATCTGCGATCATGTGCTTCCAATCGTGCAAGTCACGGAGACCCAGACAGCCGGAAAGGATGGACAGTTGCTCTTGGATGCTACAGCTGTTCTCACCCAACTGGTAACCTGCACTCTCTGCAGCCGTTTGGGTTGCAGGGAAACAAAGTTGCAAGGAGGCATTGTCCTTCTGTGTAGCAAGCGGCCATGATTCCCTGCGTGCGGTCCTTAGCAACTCCGCAGTTCTTGCCGTCTTCGAGTTTTGTTGGGGAAGGTGTCATCCGCGCGTCGAAAGCTGCCCCTCGGAGTCAAAGTGGGTTTCGATGCCATCGGAGCTGTTCGGGCTTTGCTTGAAGTCTCGAAGTTCGGACCGAGGTTGAGGCTTGTCATATCGCTCGGAATCTGGTGCTTCTTGGACCAGTGCGGACGCAACTTCGTGCTAAACGGCTGGTGCAAGCCGACTGGACATGCTTTCCGGAAGACTGTCATCTTGCTGCACCTAAACCCTACAGTCCTAAATCCCACATCGCCGTCTCTTTCCTTCGTACACGTTGAATCCACGAGGCCATGATTGGTTCGCAGCAGCCGACTCTCTTTGTCACCGCCCCGCCTGAGGTGGAACAGTCCGTGGGCAAAATGTCGACATATCTGCAAAAGCTGCCCATCTTGATATTGATACATATATATATATACACACACACCCATACGTAACGTACGTGCGTACATAGATACACACCCCTAAATGTGTAAAGAAATTCGCAAAGCACTATGTGCAGAAGTTTGCATCTGTAGGCTTCGTGATGCCAGGGCACCCTGAGACTTCGCGCCTTTGGCATGACGGAGATATCATCGGAGACCCTCGTTCAGTTCCTTGGAGTCAACTCGATCCTTGCTTACCAAAGGCCTTAAGCCCTAGACCCCACCACCCGAGACCCTAAGACCCTAAACCCTCTAAAGAAAAACGACACTCAACACTAAACCTTTAAACAAAAAACACTCTAGCCCCTCCAGTAGCTGGGCGATCATGCCTTTGAAGCTTGATTTGGATCATGGGCCAGTGACTTCGGGTGTCGAATATCTATGCACCGTAGCCCGCTTTCACTGATGACATGAGTGTTCCTAGAGTGGATTCCGAGTGTGCCCAGGTTCGTCAACACAATCCTGGCCATAGCGCCGGCAGTGGCGTGCAGCTTCTTTCTGCGTGTAGGCCTAAACCCTAAACCCTAAACCCTAAACCCTAAACCCTAAACCCTAAACCCTAAACCCTAAACCCTAAGCCCTAAACCCCAAATCCCGCACAAGACTCAGGGTTTTGCCAGAGAAGCTCTGAGGTTTCACGGCTTGGGGCTTTTTGTGCCGGATGGCTTAGGGTTTAGGTGTTCTTGTTAGGGCTTGGGCTTGGGCCCCAAAGCACAAGACTGAAGCCTTGCCTTCAGGGCTTGGCTTGTGTAGAAGCTCTCAGAGGGCCCTAGTCAACTCAAGCCTTTATCCTTCTGAGTCCCCTGAACCTAAACCCCAAACCCCCAACCCTAAACCCTGAAACCCCAAACTGCCGAGAGCGCCGCTGACCTTTTGATTGGTGCTCGAGTCTCCCACCGAGGCCCCGTCTCGACAGAAGGGTGAGGGGGGGTAAAGCCTCCCGGTAGCCGGGGACGGAAATGAGTCGTACGCCTCATACAACACAAGCGTCAGCCTGTTACAATGAGGACCCCAATCCCTCACAGTTAATGTGTTTTTGATTTTTGGGTCTGGCGCAGGGGGTTCCTCCAAGGGGGTCTGGGGCCCTGCCCCTGCCCCTCCCCTGCCCTTGCCCTGCCCTGCCCTGCTGACAGGGTTTTGTTGGAAACCCTTGCTTCTCTGCAACCCCACACCAATCCATCTCAGCTGTGGTTTGCTTCGAATTGTGATCATGTTAAGCAGAGCTGCGAAGGGAAGCGGACAGCAAGAAAGCCGCCCTTGAGGGGGGTTTGGGGGGTGAACCCTAAACCCTATAATACATGCTGACGCAAGCGTGCGATAGCTGGGTGCGCCCCTGTTCCGAAAGTAAAAAGCGCACCCACCGCAAACCAAACCCTAAACCCTAAAACCTAAACTCCAAATCGCAACTACGCCTCCGCAGGGAAAGCGGGCTTGGACAGCTCCGAAGGCAATTTTCTGGGTTTCAAGGAGCTCATCTGCCAGAGCCAGGGAAGGTTCTCAGTAGGTTCTTAGTGTCTGGGTATCCGGGTTTAGGGTTGAGGGGTTCAGGGTTCAGTTTCCACAGCAATTTCGGCCCTGCGGCTTGTTGTGGTGGTGCTAGCAGTCGGAGTCGTCGTTGTCACCACAGTCAGTCGCAGTCGTAGTGTAGGCGTAGACGCAGGTGAAGTCGTGGTTGGTAGGATCCGCGTGATTATCACCAATAGTAGAAGAACGGTTGACACCACGTTTCTAGAACTTTGGTTCCAGCCGAGCCATCACTCTTGCTGCTGGTGTTGTTCTCAGCTTCTCCGGTTGGTGGTGTAGATTGATTTCAGGAGTGGCAGACTGCGAAAGAGAGCTCTCGAAGCGTCGACATCGGGAGGGTCCTGACAAGTGTGGACCTGCTCCGTGAGTATCATCCCAAGCTGAGGGTTTCGAAGATTGGGGTTTAGAGTTTAGAGGGGCTGTTCTGCGTTGTGGGCAACACCGGTGGTGGGAAACATGAAGCTTCTACTCTGGCCGGCACCTGCAAGTTTGACGGATGTTTCCAGCACTTGTGACATGCTGACCACTGTCACTCAGGCGGTTCTCATTTCGGCCATCATCGCTTTTTGTTGCGTCATGATTTGTTATCACTGTTCGTCTTCGCCAGCTGTCCGCAGCCCTGAACCTCTGCAAACCTCTGCCTGCGCGTGAGGTTGCAGGGACCGCTGCTGCTGTTCAACCTCGTTTCTGCCGTGGCTTGCTTTGGGCAAGGTCCGCTGGTGAGCAGAGCAGTCCAAGACAGACCCTTAAACAAATTAAACCCGAGTTCTTGTGGCTTAGGGCTCGCGCTCAAGGACCTGTGGACTTAACATTTCCTACCATGCCCTTCATCATCGGCTTCCTCACGTTGAGCTTGCTCCTGGCGTCGCAAGCTCAGCGGTCTCAGAGCAAGTGGCAGGGCGTAATATAGGGGCCTAAGTAATTACCAATATTGCGTTGGGCGATCCTTGTTATGTTCATAGTATATGGGCCCCAAAACCCTATTCTAATTATCAAGGCCCCTGCATTAGGGGCATCTTTGGCGATGCCAATGGCTGATGCTGCCAGGTTCCGGCTGACGGGTGCGCAGTCCCGTGCATCTCGGGCCTATGATCTCTGGGACGACGTCTTGAGCATCTGCAGGACGAGGGCATCCGCTCTGTCAAGAGCTGTTTCCGGAGTCCAAAGATGTCGGAAGTGTTCCGGCAGAGGGAGGGAAAAGAGCTTGAGAGTAGCTTGAGCCTTCCGTGCGCGAGACCGGTGTGCTCCTCAGGAGCCTGCTGCAGTTCCGGGACAGCCTGCGGCGCTGCTCGAGCAGCACCACAGGAGTTATGCTTCCTCTGCTCGTCCGCTCTGTACGGCAGCTTTGTGAGCTCAGGCGACCACTTCATGGAGCTCGCCCGTTGGATCCCAGCGTTCCTGGGGTGCAGACGTCGCATGCAGGTGTGGCTTGTGATCACCCTTGTACGACTGCAGGTTCCCCGCAGCTCTGCTGTGCCACGTGAACTCCGGGCTGGACTTGAGGACCCAGCTGCGGCAGTCCCGGGGTCCGGATCATGAGGCGCACGAGGCACCACGGGCACCACGGGCACCGCTGTCCGTATCCGGGCAGCGACGACGGAGACTATATGGGTGGTTGTCAATATTAGGGTCCCTTGCTGGGTCCTTATTATAATACGGCACCTAATATTAGTTAGCATATACCATTTTCATTTTCTAACCATGCACCACCCCCTAGCACCCAAACCATAACAACCTATACCTCAACCCTAACACCACCCAAGACCCATAGGTAGAACCCTAGGAAAGACCCACCTGAAGACCCAAAACCAGAACAACCTATACCTCAACCCTAAACTCACCGAAATACCCATACTAAGACCCACATGATAGAACCACTAAAAGACTCATACACCACCACATAGAAAAAACCCAACCTCAACCCCATAGACCCGCACCCCCCATAGAAAAACCCATAACACCCAACCCGAAATCCCTAACCCGAGAAAATGGACATGGTATTCTCTAATTAAATATTTATAATAGGAATAAGGTTTAGGATTCAGGTCGTATCGACTAGAACGATAATCAGGATAGCACAGCGTTAGCCACTTGTCTAGATTGCTGTCTTTCAGCTTCAACTGAGTTCTCCCTGCGGCATTGTTCCCTGCCTACATGTCTCAATGGCCATGAAATCTGGCCTGGCACTTGCCACACTCTGGACATGTCAGTTGTTTCGTGCAATCCGTCCTGGCTCCGGGTGGATTCCCGTGCTCGGTCATTCACGCTTCGCGCGGCCACGGCTTCAACATGTCGGGTGCTTGTCCAGCTATATGCACAAATCGACTCGCACGTCCACATTCTCACCACGTTCCGGACATGTTCAAGTTTCCAGCAATTGTATAGTGAGGAAGAATAGCCTGTCAGCCTGCGGTGCGCTCAGCAAACATGCGTGGCAATATTTGCCACCATACTTCGGACCAATTTGTCCAGTTTCAGCAGGCTGTCAGTATACTTGTGCAGTGCGGGCAGATGGTCGGCTCGTCTGCTTTGGAGACAACGAACGTGGGCAATGCAACGTGCCAGCAGATTTGGGACCAGTTTTGGCAGTCTCAGCGGGAGTTCTTCATACTTGTGCAGTGCGGGCAGATGGTCGGCTCGTCTGCTTTGGTGGACGCAATGGGGCATGCGACATGCCAGGACCGTTTTTGGCAGTCTCAGCGGGAGGTCTTCACACTTGTGCAGTGCGGGCAGATGGTCGGCTCGTCTGCTTTGGAGAAAACGCTTGTGGGCAATGCGACGTGCCAGCAGATTTGGGACCAGTTTTGGCAGTCTCAGCGGGAGTTTCTCATACTTGTGCAGTGCGGGCAGATGGTCGGCTCGTCTGCTTTGGAGAAAACGCTTGTGGGCAATGCGACGTGCCAGCAGATTTGGGACCAGTTTTGGCAGTCTCAGCGGGAGTTTCTCATACTTGTGCAGTGCGGGCAGATGGTCGGCTCGTCTGCTTTGGAGAAAACGCTTGTGGGCAATGCGACGTGCCAGCAGATTTGGGACCAGTTTTGGCAGTCTCAGCGGGAGTTTCTCATACTTGTGCAGTGCGGGCAGATGGTCGGCTCGTCTGCTTTGGAGAAAACGCTTGTGGGCAATGCGACGTGCCAGCAGATTTGGGACCAGTTTTGGCAGTCTCAGCGGGAGTTTCTCATACTTGTGCAGTGCGGGCAGATGGTCGGCTCGTCTGCTTTGGAGAAAACGCTTGTGGGCAATGCGACGTGCCAGCAGATTTGGGACCAGTTTTGGCAGTCTCAGCGGGAGTTTCTCATACTTGTGCAGTGCGGGCAGATGGTCGGCTCGTCTGCTTTGGAGGCAACGCACGTGGGCAATGCGACGTGCCAACAGACTTGGGACCAGCTTTGGCAGTCTCAGCGGGATTTCGTCATACTTGTGCAGTGCGGGCAGATGGTCGGCTCGTCTGCTTTGGAGGCAACGATGATGGCCAATGCGACGTGCCAGGAGATGTTGAGCAGGTTTAGTTGGTTATTGTTCTACTTGTGCTGTGCAACATGGGCAGATGCTCATAAGAAGTGTGATGTGCCCAACGCTGATCATGCAGAAAAGCACCAGAGAGTGCAAGCCCTCAAACTTTTAACAATTCAAACCACAAACACTGTCTATTATTGCCCTCAACTCTATAATAATTTTGCCCTAACTTATTTTCAATACTTCCTATGGTATAGATATTTTGACTATAATTGCTCACTCTTTCTTTTTCATTTGGTTTTCGCTTCCTAAATATCTTAACTTCATCGCCTACATCTAGTTCGGGATATACGCGGTTCTTTTTGCCCTTCATCGTTAAATTTAATTTCACTTTGAATTGATCACTGGGCTTTCGGGCTTCTTTTGGCGTAAATCCCGTGGCCGAGTGCTTCATTTGATTATTATAGGTTACTAATATTTCTAATATGTAGTCTGGCCATTGGATGTTCTGTTTTCCTTTTTTCTCATCTGCTTCAACTCTCCTATACAACATATCTTTAAAAGTTCTGATGGCTCTTTCGCTAAAATTTGGGTGTGCCCTCGTTCTATGATGTTCTATGTTCTCATCCTTCAAATACTTTTGTATTGCCTCCTTGTTTAATGCGCCTTCATCGTCTGTATAAATTATTTGTGGTTTCTTGCCCATCTTGTTTAAACACTCAATCATTCCACTCGCCACGTCTCCTTCTTGTTTGCTCTTTATCGGCACTACATACATGAATTTATCAAAAACATGAATCATCAAAACACCTACCCTAAACTTTTGTTCATCCATATCGTTTATAAAAAACAAATCCATCTGATACTCGTATGCGGAATGCGGGGCGATAAAACTGTTTTGTCCTACCTGCTTTCTTTTTTGTTCAACATTCTTTCTAAAAAACTCGTTAATATCGCCCATTGTTATAGTTTTGTCCTTCTCCCGTGCTTCTGCTAATGTTCTGGATTTACTGCCAAACCCCGCTCTATCAAAATATACATCATTAATAATTTTCTGTTTCTCACTCATATAAATAAGTAACAAAAAATAATGATTTAATATAATTAATTAAATCATCATTTTATATCACATTGGGCATAATGACTTTGTATTCATTCATATCGTATTTGGGCGCTCCGCGCTTCTTTCCGCTAGGTTTCTTATCAGCAATGATTTCGTTAATTTGTGTGGGCGTCAAATCTTCTTCACTTAAACTATTTTCTGCTATGTATTCCTTAAGTTTCTTCTTTTGGTTGTGCCTTAAACTTGCTTCGCGCTTCTTCATCATAAATTGCTCGTCTTCTTTCCTCTTATTATAGTAAAGCCTCTGATACAAAGCCAGTTGTTGCTTAATCTCGTCCATTGTCATATCCTCGGGACTTTTAAAATGTGTCATATTACTATACTATATATTTATACTATTTCTTTAAATAAGTTTCTAAATATATTACGAAAATCTTTAGAAAAAACATTTAAAAATAAATTCAATTTATATTGTAATTATATTGTATATGAGCAAAAATATTAAGCGTAACACGAGAGCACTACAAACAACCTACGACAACTACAAGAATCGTTTAACACAAGGCACCAGAGAAAAAATACAAAATCTAATTAACTTTTATGAAGACCGTAAAATAGCGCAATTCACCACCGCGGACAATTTAATCAGACAGTTTATAACAGCAAAAACCGACAAACAAAAAGCGAAAGCAAACACAGCATACGACAAAATCCACGACAAACACCACGACAAAGAACCACTAGGACGACGAATGCGGGAAGCAAAGAAGGAAAACAAAAGACGAAACACCACCAGTTTCTACTCTATAGATGTAATGTTTTATAAGCTTAAGTTAGAAAAAGATGATGCCATTAAAACCGCCTTCAAGGACTCAAAAGGCCGGCCGTTAATCTATTTCTGGAGAGAACCCAAAACAGCAAATGCAAAAACAACAAAATACATAGAGGACTTGGTGGGAAAGCGTGTTTTTCGGTATGAGAAGGAAACTAAAGCTACATTCAATAAGTTAATGGATACACTCAACACAGACCCAGTTTTAGAAGACGATTTGTTTCACACAGAGCAGTATATGGAATGTATCCAAATTAAGAGCCTTGAGCGGGTAGATGGCGATACAGATTTTAAGCCAGAAGCAGAGAAACTAACAAATACCGCTAATTTAAGTATGTATAACATCTACATTCAAACGCCTTTAGACCCCGAGTTTGAAACCTTTAAGGAAGCGATAAATGTAAAGCATTACAAAGAAAACGAGTGCTGGTTTAACACCATAACCGATTGGTATAAGGATACGCTAATGGGCGAAAAAAGACGAGAGAAGATCAGATTAACAAAAGAAAATATGTTAAGACTGATGAATAAGACCGAAGAGGATTTCAAAACCAACGGGGCATCAATACAGGATATGGTGCCGGTGTTTGAACACTACGGTATTCAAGTAAGGATATTCAATTCCTTCATAAAGCCCATTTTCAAATACTCACCTACCAAATACAACCACCATATACCAACATTATATGCCCTAGTTAAAAACAACCACATCTACACAGCAAACGACAACCTACAGATGTTAAGGCAGATGGTGGCAATCCGTGAAAATCAAGATGTATCGGTTAAGGCTTCCCCAGATTATCATATTAACGAAAATGACGAACCCACTGAATGTAAAATGATACATTCCTTAAATGACCTTAAGAAATTCAGAGAGAAAGACAATTATACATTAATATACGATGGTAATGATTTAACCCATTTGTTTTATGAAAGCAAGATGGCGGGCTATGAGCCACAAGTGAGATTTACTGGTTGTATCGTTTCCGATTTGTATTTCAAATTCTACATTAAAAAGAAGAGCATAAGATACAGGATTAAAACACAAAATCTAGTGACGAGCTCAGTGGATGGAACTATAACCGTAAGGACGGAACAGATTTATAACAATATGTCTAAAGCAATGTATGAATTCAACAAGGCATTATTTAATCCCTTACATAAGTCCTATTACAACGAAACCGATATACAAATTCTTAAGGAATGCCGAACAATCCCGCTGGTGGGAGAACTAAATAAATTCTACAAGGTGTTAAACCAAAAAACCGAGAAATACGACAAATACGGGTTTATGCCTGAAACT